AGATTGGTTGACGCGAGACTTACAAATTCATGACCTGTTTTTGCACAAATTCTTGAGCCCTGGAATTTAAAGTAAACCACTCTCTATTGCATTGACCTGTTCTTCAATCTCTGTTTCTTTGTCTTGGATTCTTTATTTTCTTTCTGTGATTGGTAAGTATTCCATTCCCCTAAGGGCCTATCTCACATATTTCCTTCGTGGACTCGTGATAGGGAAATTATACAATTTGTAAGGAATGCACAAACCATCGGTTCCATCAATTCGCTTGTAAAATTCTAAATGTAAAGAAAAATTAAAGTTATTTTATAAAAAAAAATTGAATCAAATTGAACTAGTATACCTAACTGAATCAATTGAAAAAATTGAACTCCTTTTGTGGGTTAGAACAATTTTCAAAAATCAAATTATAATGAGTTTTTTTTAATAATATTTTATCAAATTTTAAGATGATATATATAAATATAAATTTTAACATGCTCAAATAAATTCAAAAATAATTAACAATACAAAGCTATTATTATATAAAGTCAAAAATACCCTTAATATATATAATATTAAATTTTTAATATTTACCAGTGTAGTCAATTCAATCTATTCAGTTGAGAATTTTTTTAATTGAAAGTTAAAATAAACACTCCAAACTAACTGAACACTCTAAATTGAAATAATTTTAATTCGATTGTTTTTTACTATTCAAAATAATTTTGCTCAATTTTAAAATTTTGTGAAAAATACACAGGAACGTAAAATGCCATCTATTAAAATAAAAAAATATTATAATAACAATAATCATGATTTCAAAGAATAAGTATAATTCAAGTCACACTGAAAAGACGAAAATCCGTCAAATTTCAAATTCCACGATTACGGCTAATCAACCGAAATTTGCCGACGACTCCAAGATAATTAAAGAAAATAAAATTTCTCTCGAAATTATATAAAATTAATATTAAATATTTTATTTTTTGAAAGCTGACATCATAATGACTTCACCAATAATTAATTTCAAAAGGTGAAATAGATGTGACATTTTTGTCTTAGGGTAAGGGCAAAACATTAAAGTGGGGGTAAAACGTAGGGTCCATATTTAACATAACATTTCTAAATTACATATGCTTTTCGATTTATTTTTCCCCCAAAAATTTGATTTATTTTAATTATCTCCGTTTTGGGAAATTGAAAAGCTTTTACCCAAAAGTTTTTCAATTTTTTCTCCCGTTTTAAAAGAGAATTTCTTTTTTTTTTTTTGTGAACAACGATGGATCTGTATAAAAGGTGGAGTAAAACCAAAATCCGCAAAGCAATATGGATAGAACAAGTGAGATCACAAGATGCTTCAGTACAAAAACAAGATAGGACAAACAAAACAGAATCAATTAGGAATGTAAAATATTTTATAAATAAATTAATGAAAAAAATTATGTTGAATAATGTAAAATGTTTCACATCCGTGAATGACGTAAAATAATTTGTTCTATCTGTTTTCTCCTCTCTCTAAAATCGATTTCATGCGAAAGATTGACGTAAAAATTACATTGACGTGTACAAGAGTTGTAAGAGTTAGCTGTCATATTATGCCCATTTTCTTCTCGTGAAAGAAAGAGGAAAAGTGTATGGATTCAGTACAAATTTTCAAAACATTCGATTACGTACGCTCAATTTGTCTTCAAAAAAGAGGGAAGATCTCTAAAAAATTTTCCTTCACATAAAGGGTTGATGATTATATATATTAATTCGTAGCGAAAAGTTTAATATAATGAAAGAAGTCGTAATTCGAAAAGGTTGTCTACAAGAGATTACCTAACTTGAAATGTAGGTAGCAAGGTTGGGTATAACAGAAAAGTAATATCATCACGGATTTGGATTTTGGGCAACTTGGCAATGAAAAGAGGCTGTGAAAAGCAATTTCCCTGTGCCCAAAAGTTGTACGTTTGGCCAAAATCATGACTCTGCGTTGAATTTTCTTTACATTGAAAACCTAAAGCCTAAAAAGCATATACCAAGACGACACAAAAGATGTGACTCCAATTTGTAATTTGCCAATCTTTTATTACGCCCTCTTGTTGTAGTCACCATGAAGAGTAGTTAAATTGTCAATCAATGTTAAAAGGTGGACATCCCTATAGTTTTAATTAATTAAAATTTAAATACAGAGGGGAGCCTCCCTTTTTAGCTTTGTTTTCAAACATTTTTTTGGGTTATAATTTGATTAAACAGTTAACTAAAGGTGATTTTGTTGAATATTAGTCTTTGATTGATTGAAAAGGTGTTAGCCAAAATTTGGTGATTCTTGGATCTTGACAAACCAAGCAAACATTAGCATTTGGATGATCATTGATCATAACAATTTTCAGTCTAATCATCGTATTAGAAGATAATATAGATTGAATTAATGAGACATAATGTAGAAGTGAATTGTGTTATTTTACTTGCCAATTTTAAAGATTATTTATAGCCATGGGGATGATAATTCTCAATGTGAATACCAACTATTGTGACAACAAAATAGGGGTTGGTGAGTAGTAATTAACAAGTGATAAGTTCAATTCAACGGTAATAATAAATTTAAACACAAGGTAAGAAAATGACTTTACCCTCTTCGAAACGAAAGTTAATTTGTCAAAATTGAATCTTTATTTTTCATTGACTAAGAAAATAGTCTTCCGTAACATGTTCTCTTTTATCAATTTGCCCAAACAACATAGGTTAAAATATCTTTTTTTTTATAAAGATATTACCACAAGTATTTTGAGAACGCCTGTTAAAGTTATTTTATGTTAGAAATATCACAAGATAAAAATCCATCATATTAATCTTCAATCATTATATATATTTAATGTAAAAATATTTTCATATATGAATAGAACTTTAACCAATATCTTCAAGTATTTTTTTTCTTTTTTCACTCAATCAAGAGTTGATTTTATTAATTTAAGAGGTCTTTAATAGATATAAAACCATTAGTCAAGACGTAAAGGTCACACTTGATCTTAGTAACATCACATACGTCAGAAGAATATTATAATGTCAATATCCAAATTACAAAGACATAAGCACTGCAGGATAATGCAGTAGTAAAAACCATCCCTCGCTAAGTACCTGTCAGCAAAATCCTATTTTTCCAATGATACGGGTGTTTTTACTGGCCTAGGTTCCTTGGTTAGGTTATCCTACTCGTTTGCCCCAATTAACCTCCTGAACATTAGTGAAGTATGAAAGGTTGAAAGAAAAGAGTAGAGATTTGGGTGTTTGAAAACTTTGAGGTGGAGCAAAAAGGGAATCAAAAAGCATACAATAAAAATACAAAAGGAAAGGGTTAAAAAAGAGAGGGAGGGAGAGAGAGAGGAGGTATGTTTTATCCCCTGAAAATCCGCTCACAAAATCTTGTCGGCAAAAAAAGTAAAAAAAAAAAATGTACAGTGAAGGCTTAAGCTTAGCTCCAAAGTAGGCAGGGGAGTTTGATTGCATAATTGGGGAAGTGGGGTCAATCTTTTTGGTGCTTGTCTAAAAACCAGAAGCACAAACCCTTGGTGAACGCTAATGAAGGAGCTCCTGCTGGGTTGGCCTTATCTTTCACTGTGGTTTTTCCTTTTGATTTTGTGGGTACTGTGCATGTTCTTTGCCACCAAGATTTTCTAGTTAATAGTTCTGAGTCTTTAAAGAGTACTACTGTTGTTTGAATTGCATGTCCTGCACGCGTGTCACAGCTTGACATCTTATCTTCTAACGCGGTTTTAATCTCAATAAAATCATGTTCATAATTATCCTAAGATACTGAATATGGGAAATCATCAGAAAGAGAAAGAAAGGTTGTTGATATCATTCAGGATTAACTCATATGATTAGAGTTGTAAAAAGGTTGAGCAAATTTATCACCCTTATTGCCAAAGGAATGCTGCTCACAAGAGGGAGGAGACGGTGGGGACAAGTATGCAAAGGTGAGAGGTGAGAGTGACAGTAAATCATATTCAAAAGAAATAAAAGGTCCCAAAGGAAATATCAGAGAATATTGGAGACCCCAAAAATTGTATTATACAATGATAGAGAAAAAAGGGCATATACAGCTTCCTGACCCATTCCATTAATGCTATATCCTTAATTGGATCTAATCCCTCTTGTTTTTTTTTGGGTAATAATGTAAACCAGAAACGTTTCCAATAAGTGTAATTAGGTCTAATGGCAAATTCATGTATCTTCAAAACCATAGACATAGTTAAGATTATTATGTCAAGATGTTGAAATTAATAACCAGTGGTGTGTATCTGATTTCCTAAAATTATGAGGCAAAAGAGATTTTTTTTTTCCCAGCAGCCTATGTTGAAATCTGCCCCTGCATACCGGTTTTAACCATATACAAATAAGTCTAATCAAATCATTCATGTCCATTGTGGGTATTAAACTGAACTATATATGCATATTATATTAATTAAAAACATTATTTCAAGAAAAAAACAATTAATTTTCTTTTACCTTTTAATATCATTTTCCTTTTCTTTTAGGTATTGACCCAATGCTTTTCTCCTTTATATATATATATATATATATATATATATATATATATATATATATATTGCCCCCTTCTTGAGGTCATCTATTCTAATGTCAATGTATTTTATGAGAAAATGTGTGCTTATTGGTCAAATTCCGTCATATACTAAGAAGGAAAAAAATAGTACTAAGTTCTTACAAGGAAAAAACTCAGAGATCTCTGTTGTTACATATTTACATATTTTATATATATATATATATCTCAGACTGTTCTAGGATTCTCTTCATTTAAGTGAGTCTGTTTATTTATGCATGTCATTATCTTTAACCCCACCACTAATCTCTCCTTCACTGAGCGCTCCACCTCTTTCTCTATCATACTCTCCCCTAAATCAAACAAATGCCAAAGGTGGAAAAAAGTTAAAGGGGTAGAGGAAGAAAAAGGAGTACTTCCTAAAAGACAAACCAAACCAACTTTCAATAAATCAGCTGCTATATGTGCAAGGCTTTCCCACATAAAGTCTGGATATAAGCCATCTGAGGATAGAAATTAATCAAAGGGAAAAAAAATCCCTATCCCTCCCTCTGAAGAGATGGGTTTTAGGAGCTATCATGTAGAGGACAAAAACCTTTGCTTCCAAGCTCCTACTTTCATTGAATGGCTCAAGCCATCTTCCTCTCCTAATTCTTCTTCACTATCCTCTTCGTCGTCGTCGTCATCATCATCATCATCTTTATCTTCTTCTTCTTCTTCTTCCTCTTCTTCCTCTTCTGTGACTAAACAAGTGCAGTTTATAAACCCCATGACCATCTTGAAACTGCCTGTCTCATTTCAACAGCAGCAACAAGAAATTGTGCAGGAAACTATTCAATGCCTACCACTTTTGAGCAGGCTTTCAGAGAACAAACCATTGAAAGAGGAAGATGCTGGAATGAAAAAGGAGATCAATATTGGGATTAAGGAAGAGAAGATAGAGAAAGTCACGGTTTCCTTGCACATTGGGTTGCCTAACACCGGAGATCCTGTTATTGAGAACAAGGTTTTTAAGGGAGAAGAACCCATCAAGAAAACCTTCCATGGGTGTTCTTTCAACACAGAGAGTAGGTTTTGGATCCCAACTCCAGCGCAGATCCTCGTCGGCCCGATGCAGTTTGCTTGCTCCATATGTAGCAAGACGTTCAATAGGTATAACAACATGCAGGTCAGTCTTCGATCTTTGGAATTCTTTAATTTTATGAATTAAAGCTTTTTTTTATAGATTCTTTTCTTTTCATTTTTAACCTTTGACCATATAGATTCCTCTCCAATTGAAATGCCCATGGCTCTATGCATGAACATGATCAAATCTGGAATTAACAAAACTACTTTTACTTGGTTTTGTTGGTGCGAAAAACGATAAATTACCGAAGTTAATCCTTATTGCATGCCAAAATCATCCTTTTTACCCCTTACAACTCATCATTCTCTTAGAAACTTTGGAGAGTTACAGTTCAAAGCTGTCTTCCTTAATAAGGAAAGACAATTGTCTTGTTGATGTAGGTAAAAAGAATAGAAAGAAAATGAATGCTTATAGACGATTGTTTAAGGCAATTATTAACTACAAATAAGCAATGAATTTTTATGGTAGTTTCTTTCCTTTCCAGCGAGTCATATGCTCAAGGATTAATTTTCTTTCCATTTCTGAGTTAAGAGATAGGTAGATTTTTTTAATTTATTTCTTTTATTAGATGCAGCAGCCAATACGCATTTCATGTATTTTCTACTTGGCTATAATTCTATGTAGCTAATTTATGCAATGCTGAATTATATAGCTTTACTCTCTCAAATCATTTCCATGTTTTCATTTTTGTTTTATATTTTTTTTTCCATGAAAACAAGCCAGTATAATATTTTGGTTAAATCCTTTGTGATTTTGATGTTAGAGAGCTTCAAACATCATATGTCAATTCTTATTATCAATCAATGTACACGCGTTTCATCCATATTCGCTCATGCATGTCCCATACATTAGAATATCAAAGATTAGATAGAAACTAAGGAAGAAACAGCTAAAAAACAATAGAAATAATTGAGGCCTAGGGAGTCCAAATTAATCAGTCTAATTAAATGACTCAATAAGCAAATTCCTACCTTTCACAAAAAAAAAAAGAAGAAGCAAATTCCCATGCTTAATTACTTCGATATTAGACTACATCTAATCATTTTGTTTTCCTTTTAACCCTTAAAGTATACTTAAAATATAAAAAAGTGGAGACATATAGACTCTCAGGCCATCTATTACTTGAAACTATTGGTTTGCAAGCAACATTTTCAACTGAGAATTATGCTTTAAAATATAATCGGGGTAATGATTTTTAGTGAAAATTGAAATGAATTGGCCTTAGCTTCTGCAGTAGATAGAAATGATACCCCTCTTCCGTTTTGTTTCGTTTAGAGGGAATGATGTCGATGATATGTTCCCTTTAATTTGTTAACGTGAAAGTCCCTCCATGATTGAGAAAATTTAACTAATCCACATCCCATTTCTTTTGACTTTTGTCCTTGACATGCTTCCCTTTTGGGTGGAAAGTTATGGAGGAAGAAAGCAAGCTGGGGTAGGAAGAAAATATTATTAAGATTTTTTACTTATAAAGCAGAGGTAGTGGTAAGAAGTTGAAATTGATTAGAGAAAAAAAGTAAGGAAGAAGAAGGGGGAGAGGGCCAGGGGGTTTTGAGAGAAAGAGCAGTTAATGTTAGAGCTTTGGATTCTTATCTTTAGTGGGGAATTTGCAACACTCTTTAATCACTTTTTTTATCAACTTTTAATTAAAAGACATAGCCTAATGATCCTTGTAGACTATAAAGAGTCAAGGGTTACCTTTTGCAAAGTCATAATATCTTAAGCAAATACCCAAATCAATTTTTTTTTTTTAAAAAAAAAGTATGAATACCAATGCTAACTAGATCTAAAATATGAACTTTGAGGTGTAAATTGAATAAGACAATTATATATAAGTGCATGCATAACAAGTAAATTGAGGGACTGAATTTTGATGATACAGATGCATATGTGGGGGCATGGCTCTGAATATAGGAAAGGGCCAGATTCACTTAAAGGAACACAACCAGCAGCAATGCTAAGGCTGCCATGCTATTGCTGTGCTCAAGGCTGCAAAAACAACATCAACCATCCTCGAGCTAAGCCATTGAAAGACTTCAGAACACTTCAAACTCACTACAAAAGGAAGCACGGCGCAAAGCCCTTCATGTGCAGGAAATGTGGCAAAACGTTTGCTGTCAAAGGGGATTGGAGAACTCACGAAAAGAATTGTGGCAAATTATGGTATTGCACTTGTGGCTCTGATTTTAAACACAAAAGATCCTTGAAAGATCACATTAGGTCTTTTGGCAAAGGCCATTCCCCTCACCCTTCTCTTGAAGGATTTGAAGATGACAAGGAATGCATCACTGGTTCAGAAGACGAATTCGCTCACTAGATCCCTGGTTGATCATCGATCAAGTGCCTTTTGCAAAGCTTTTTAATTTTCTTTTCAATGTTTTAGCTTGTTTGGAGATTTAGCTTTGAAAGTTTCTTAGGTTTCATCCAAGCTCGTGCTCGGTAACAAAAAATTCTCAAACAAAGATTGCACGAAGGCAAGAGAGGGAGCGGTTTGCTACGGAGCACTTGCTGAGAGATGAGCCTTGGTAAACTTTTTTGGAAACCTTGTGGTAGCGTTAATGGGAATAAACAAAAAAAAAAGGGTTACCTCAAGTGGTGAAGTAGATGAATTTTCTTCTCTTCAAATGATGAAGATTTCCAAAAGATTCTATCACTTTTCTAAGGGAGAAAATTTATCCGCTTCATTGCTAACTGGTAACCTTTAATAGCTAGGAGGATTGTATTGTTTTCTGGACAATTATTATCTTTTCTGTTTATCTCTCTTGGCTTTGAGCATCTTGATTTTCGAATCTTTGTTCAACAATTTCTTTCCAAACTTAATTTAAATTGCTTGCATGCATGCATTGCAGAAGCATTATCATGAAACTTGCCATAGCTCCATGGATACGTGATAATAATTATACTCTGGAAATAACAATCTGTTGATGGGCTCTTGTTGTTTATAAAATCTGTGAATATATGTTATCAGTTCCAACATAGATCATGTCTTTTAAGTATGCGTTTCAAGAATAGATGGTGAAAGTTTTAAACCCCACCAAAAAGGAGTTTAAATTAAGGAAATACATTATTATCCTTTCGAGATCAAGAGTGAAACAATCGAACGCACACATGCATGTGGTCAAACAGTGCTCAACAACCCAACCAAATTAAAGAAACTAAGAAAGATTTCATATCCCACCACACACACGTTTGCAGTCATATACACGAGCAAATTATAAAAGAATTAATGTCAGCTCCACCTACAAAATTTTTTGCATATGGTAAAAGGTTTCACACATGAACCCTTTAATGATCAAGTTAATGCTTTACATTCAACATGCTTTCCTCATCTCTTTTGAGTATTTTGTTGAAAGTTAAAAGACACCAAAAAGTTTCTAGTATGGTTGGTTAATTAAACTTACTTTGACCATATAAACACACACTAATTAATAAGTGGCCAATAGTCGAATTAAATTTAATTTGTTATGATTTGAAGTTTTTTTTTTATATAAATTAATATCAACGATTAAAACTCAAGATTTTATTTTACAAATTTTAAATTCAAATCTTATAGAAATAAGAGAGTCGGATTTATTATTTATTAATTCTTGTACTACACATAAGAGTTCATGGAATCTTGGTATGGAAAATAATAATAATAAAAAGAAACATTGGAAAGCTGATGTCAAAAATGATTTAGCCATAGGTCAGTGCTTACAAAATGTAGAGTTTATCATGTGTAGCAATTTTCAAAGGCCAGGTGGGGGAGAGGGAGGAAGTAAGTGAGAGGGTCTAACTTGGAGGCTTCACCAAATCATCCAACAAAACTGATTATAACATCAAACGAGAGAATATGTACGATTAGGTATTAATAATGGAGAGAATTCTTGTAGTCTTATTTAAGATGACTTTGATTACTATATGTAAGAGTTCATAAAATACCCAAAACATTAAAGGAGGGAAATGCTTGTATGTGTGAAAAGATGATCTTTAGCAATGACTTTTTTAGAACAAGACATAAAGAGTAACATGATCCTCTCCATACACAGGCACACAAAAAAAAATATCATACAGATGGGTTGAAAATTAGTTCCTTTTGAGGTAGGCTTGACCAATTAAACAAGGGAAAAAAAAAGTTGTGGAGAAAACGTGAAGGGTATGATTTTGAGCTAAGGGACCGCCACCACGCTTTGTCGGGTGATGGAGCAAAAAAATAATAATAAGAAGGACTCTTTAAGGTAAAAATGCTTGACCCAAGCTTTGTTAAATTTAGCTGCACTATTGGTTTTTAGCTCAGCAACTAGTGCCGGAATCTCCAACAAGCCTAAAGGTGAAAGACCAAGCATTTGGCAATTGGAAACAGAGGGAGTGTTTCTTTTGTCTAAGTTGGATTTTATTGAATTATTTGGTTGCAAGCTTAATTGGGCAGTGTTAGATTTGATCCCCAGCTGGAAATCACTGCTCTTTTTGTTTAGCTACATGGATTTCACTCTTCTTCTGCTACTATACTAGAGATTGCTGTTCAATTTAAGTATATGCGTGCTGAATGGTCAGAAATAATCGCAATATGTAAATAATTTAACTTTTAAAGACACAATTTTTTTGTATGTAAAACAAGACAGAATTTTGATCATTAATTGCACAAGATAAAAACGCCAATATCTAAGTGTATATATACTAGTACATAGTAACAATTAATATAGTTGCATGGACATAAACCTAATGTGGATCACCAGAATTTGTTTACTTACATGGGCACAAACAAGAATAAATTGCAATCTCCTGTCATCCTTCTGACAATAGCTCTGGAGTCAACATTAGAAAATTATCAAAATTTTCTATTGTAATGTATGTATTTAGTAATGTTTTTCCATGTAATTGTGCCTTGAAAGTCATCAAAAATTAGTTCTAAATTTATTTTCATGAATACCTTCATTAAACAGATCTCAGTACACGTTTATTTAATGAATTTTGAAATTTTAGTAATTTGGAAAGACTCCAACTCAACTCTTAAGACCAGGCCCATTCAGAAACCCATACTACCCAGGCCATAAACAATGCAGTCCAATTTTCTAAACGGACCAGGATCACTGAACGTTCCACAATTACCGACCCAAAACATACCACTAAGCCCACTAGCCAACTAATATTTGTCTAATTTCTTTTAATAATATCTTTTCAGGTAAATTTCACCTAGGGGTGTACAAATTCAAATTGTACTGAAAAATCGAACTGAATCAAAGTAAATTTAATTTTTTCAATTCAATTAGTATGGATAAATTAAAATAAAAACTTTCAATCTTCGGCCTTCTAAGATTGTGAAGAGCTTAAGACCAAAGCTTTTAGTGCATGTGCATACTTTTAAGAGCCTATTTAACTTAGTTTTTTTTTTAAGTTAAAAGTTGTTATAAAATTTTTATGAAAAATAATCATTTTTAAAATTAAACTAAAACTGTTTGATAAATGATTTGATAAAATAAATTATATAAGTTTTAATTTTGATTAAATTTATCACAAAAAAATTCATACCATCTTCCATCACCTAATAAATCAAAATGGAGTAACTCTACTTCGAGTTTATATACGATTTCAAATGTTAAAATCAAAAAAATTCATACAAAAATGGAATAGCTCTTAAATTTTATATAGTAGTAATAGTATTAAATTTTGTTAATCTAGCAAGTAATTAGAAAGCTCCTCTCTACAGCTTTTCTTTAACTTTTTTTTTTAAAAAATTTATTTTTTAAAAGCTTCTTAAAATTATGTTTGGCTTGATTTCTGCTTTTAAAAGATAAATAAATTAAAAAAAAAAAAGAGTCGAACCAAACAAACACTAAATCTTAAATTTCTAATTTAGGTTCAATTGATTATTCTGCTTACTTTGAATGTGAAGCTCAGTTTATGGAATATGTTATTTATTGTTTTTTATTGATCTCCTTTAATTTGTGTCTGATTTCAGTAGCTGTGCTATTGTTTTTAAGTGGTGTTTGCTTAACATAAACTATATTTGGAATCATAATTTGTTACGGTGTTAAGAGATATTCTTGAGATGGAATCTGAAGCACAGTTTATGGCTGGTAGTTGGCCTGTGTTTAAAATGAAATAATTGGGCGTGAATTGGCTGTCACCGTTGCATTATAGAAATTGTCCTTTGGACAATTATTTTATTGTCTAATTACTGGATTAGGATTATCATAGTCTTATGGAAAATTAAAAAAATGATAGGAGACATTAAAGCAGTGGAAATAGTCCAATTATTAACATTCTTGCAATAAGAAAATTGCCCTTTGGATATTATTGTTCAGAATTTTTTTGGTTTACTTTTTAGTATATTTAATATATTTATATACTAAACAAAAGAATTTTAAACTTTTGTCCCATTTCTAATGATAAATGTGAGGCCATAGGGCAAGTGATTGAGAAATGTTTGCGTGATTGGAGGATTAAGAACATTTTCACTATTACAGTTGATAATACTAGTGCCAATAATCTTGCAATAGTAGGTATAAAAAAAAGATTTAACACTCAAGGAAATAATTTTTTAGAAAGCAAATATCTTCATATGAGATGCATTACACATATCATTAATCTTATTATCACTAATGGAATGAAGAAAATGAATGATTTAATTGCTCATATCAAAAGGGCAGTTAAATACATAAGACAGTCACCTGCTAGGTTACAAAGGTTCAAAGAAAGTGTTGTGTATTCAAATATTCAATCAAATAATTTGTTATGTTTGGATGTTAGTACTAGATGGAATTCCATTTACCTGATGTTTGAAAAGAGCTCGAAAGTTTGAAAAAGTCTTTGATTCGTTTGAAGATGTTGATCCTTATTATAAAAGTGATTTGTTGATGGGTGATGAAGTACCAGAACATGAGAATTGGGAATATGTTAAGAGTTTCAATCTTTTTCTAAAATATTTTTATCTACTTATATTAAAAGTTCCAGATACTTTTTATGCCACTATTAATACTTTTCTTGATGATATTTGTAGCGTTTATTGCATTCTGAGAGATTGGCAAAGACATCTTGATGTTGAGTTGCAAACAATAACAAAGAAAATGAAAGAGAAATTTAATAAATATTGCAAAAATGTAGAAAAAATGAACAACCTATTCTACGTTACATCTATTCTTGATCCAAGGAGGAAATTTGTATTTGTGGAGTTTTATTTGAAGAAAATATATTCAGATGAGCAAGCTTCATTGATTTGTAAGAGTTTGAAAAAAACAATAAAAGAGTTAAAAGAGTTGCTTAATGAATACAAAAAAAAAAAGTACAACTTCATCAATCTAAAAATGTTGGTGAAAGTAACCAATCTCAAGTATCAAAAGCTTAGATACATTAAGTGGGTCCTTGAGCGTTTCATTTAAGGGAGTTCTAAAATTTGGCTCACTTAGGATTTGTTACTTTCACCAATTTTCTCATATTAATGAGATTGTACATTTTTTTTTTTTTGCATTCATCAAATAGCTCTTTCATTATATTTTTCAAACTCTTACAAATCAATAAAACTTACTCATTCAAATACATTTTCGTTAAGCAAAACTCCACAAATATAAGTTTCTTTCTTGGATCAATAATAGATGCAACGTAAAGTAGTTTATTCATTTTTTCAATATTTATCAAATTTTTCTTTCATTCTCTTTGCTATTATTTGTAACTTAACATCAAGATGTCTTTACCAATCTCTCAAAATGCAATAAACACTATAAATATCATCAAGAAAAGTATTAATAATGGCATAATGAGTACTTGAAGCTTTTAATGTGAGTTGATAAAAATGTTTCAAAAAAGGGTTCATTTTTTTAACAATTTATTCATTCTTGACAATTTCTTTCTCTTTCTACCTAGTTACCTCTTTCCTTCTCTCATTAAATTAAAATGAATTTAAAATTTAAAGAAAAAATAAAATAAATTTAAAATAAAAAAGTTTAAGTTTTAATTATAAATTACAAAGAGGTTAATATTTAAACTTAAAAATTAAATTAAAATTTTAATTATAAATTTTTTATTTTTAATATTTTAAAAATAAAGAATAAAATAATAAAATCAATATTTTAATTATAAGTGATTAATATTTTAAATAAAATATAAATTATTAATATTTTGGAAATTAAAATAAATAATCATATTAACATTTAAATAACAATTTATTAATATCTTTAATAAATTATTAAAATAATAAATATTCTAATGTAAAAATTAAATATTATAATAAATGATATTTTTGTCATTTATCACTTATTCTTTAATTATTCTTAAAATTAATCTTGTCAATTAAACATTAAAATAATTAATAATAGCAATTCTTATCCTATTCTATTCCTATGAATTAAACTACATAATAGTAATTCATGTCTTATTATATTCTTATGAAGTGGCTATTCAATTCCTACTCTATTCCTTCCTACAAACTAAACACACCTTTAGGGATTTATTTTCAAGGAAAACCCAAAATTACCCCTTTTTATATAAGCATTTTTCACTTCAATTAGTTCAGTTAATTCGATTGAGAAAATTTTCGGCTATAGATTAAACCAATTAAACTATTATAACCGAACACATTTAACCGAATTAATTGAAAACCAAACTGACTAAGTTAAAAGAATCGAACTCACTTTTGTTTGGTTTGATTCAGTTCAGTTTAAATTTGCACAACACTTATACTTTTTATGATTTTAATTTTTTATAGTTTCGTTTTTCTCAAGTAAACCTTACTGGTATCTTTTCTCAATTAAAATTTCACGTATAACTTCTATTCCTATAATGAATTAGGTTAATAATTTTGCACGATAAAATTTACAAAAGATATTCTTCAATGTGAACAAATAGATTATGTTTAAATTGTAAATATTTTATAATTTTACTGTTAACCTTCTGTGAGATATTCACAAGATATAGGTTAAAATCATAAAAAGCACAGGTTGAGTTTACCTAAAAATATTGAATGCAAGTATATATGTACTCAGTGCGTTGAATATTGCAATGAGAGCACATGTCCCACCTTGGTAGCAAAAGTTCCACAGACATTGTTTTTTAATCAAATATAGAAATACTTTACAATAAAAATAAAATTTTTGGTTTCACTCTTTCTCTTATACATATTTAATTAAAACTAAATTAATGCCTATCTTAGCAAGTAATGCAAGTATATATACAATTTATTTGGAAAACTTTTGTGATTAAATATTACTATCAATTTAGCTCTCAATATACATAAATAAATACATATAGTGCTTGAAGATACCAAACAATTCATTGCAATTTTTCCACCCAAAGAAAAGCACAAAACTCAAAACTACCGCCACCATATATAGAGATTGATATGTAGCACCGCAACCCCATAACATTGGATTTGCTTCAATGGAAAAGATCTAGTAAATGCAATCAAATTTGATCAAAGCTACACCCCTAGTGTCACACCTCTAAACTTGATCAATCAAATCAACGTTGCCAACTATGGTCATCACCTAAACATTTGATTGCATCCCCTATCTTGTGACATGATGCAGCATTTTGGGTCTCCCACCTCTCAAATTCCAGGTGTCAGTCCAGGAAGATAAGGAGGTGCCGAGTAGAGTAAGAGAAAAGAAAAAGACTTGAAACTGAAAAGGACTTGGATATTGTTGCATGCCAGAGGTAGTGAATTAAACAAGCCGAAAAGACTTGAATTATACAGTTTAGATTACCACCTGTCAACGGTGTAAGCTGTGAAAATTGTCCATGAGGACACGTGGCACTGAGATTCTTTACATGCGAACAGATGTTTTGTACTGGGCAACACACAGCAGCCTAAGAGACTTGCGCAAGAATTTCTTGTATGTCGATGTGTCATTATATATTACAAGATTGTTGGCGTTAGAACGGAGTGCCAAGGTTTTATCTGTTAGGAAAAACCATGCTGATATTCTAAACTCATAGTTCTTTCACACTTGAATCTTTACATCTTTGTTTTGTATTTGTTAAAAGAGATTGCGCTCATCTTTCTTCTCTAGCTTTTTATATTGAGAGAAAGAAGGAGAAATATCATGAAGGTTTGTATAGAGCAGCATCAGCATGTTATCTTGAGCTTTTGATAATAAAATAGTGTTGTAATGGCCTGTTTCTTAGTTTTAATTCAATGAGCAGAGTAAGCGCTTGGTTGTAGCTTGATGCTTTAACAATTTTCTTTGTCAATTGTGCAGGTTCATGAAGCAAGGTCTTATTTCCATACTCATCCAACTGGTGATCATGAAGAGAAAGTGATGGCAAGGAAGTAGAAGGCAGACCAGCTCAAGACTAATGAAGGAAGGGAATCTCCAAAGAAGGCCAAGGCTGAGGTTGACAATGACCACTCTAATGGAAAATCTGCATCTGATGTAGCTAAAGAGTTTGAAGAGTTCTCTAAAGCTGTCAGAGAGCACTTATCTGATACACAAATGAGAGAAATCTTTGAAGCTAATGGCCAAGATTCCTCTGGCTCTGGTACTTCTGTTGTCATCAAATGGTTAGTGAACTTCCATGTTATTGTATTATTATATAATGCAGCAATCATCTCCAAGAGTTTAGAACCTGATGCCAACAAAATCTTTTCTATTGGCAGCCTAGATATGCTGTTTTATGGACCATTGGAGAAGTGTCCAATTTGCAGTGGAGATTTGGAGTTTGATGGTAACCGCTATTCTTGCACGGGATCTTATAGCGAGTGGTCTTCTTGCGTCTATAAAACAAGAAATCCACCAAGGAAACAACAGCCAGTCAAATTGCCTGATTTTGTCCTGAATTCTCCCGTTGCTGATATAAATTTTGTTGACGAATCTCATTCTTTATATGTAACTTAACAAATTTAGTTACTTTACTGAGTTCTGTCCTTCTTGCTGTAGTTGATAAAGAAATGTCAGGATCCAAGTCGCCGGCCTCACCGTTTTGTAGGAGTTACAGACAAACCCTTCTTAGAAATGATGATTTCCCTGATGAGCCGTCTTAGTCGTGCACATGTATGCGAAACTGTTTCAGTTGTAGTAGCCATTCTATATCTTTGTTCTCTGACCTTTTTGTTATTTTTTAAGCGCCTTTGTTCGTTGACTAAAAGTACAACTGTTCTAACTGCAGCAGTACTGGAAATCCCAGATCCAAAAACATGGAGGGAAAGTCTCCAGCTCTGTCATTGGTAATTGTTTGCACTATTGCCAAATTTGAGGCTTTAAGCTGCTCAGTGTTCTCTTATTTATTGCTTGACTTAAGAAAAAACTGTGCGATAACTGTGGCAGGTGTGACTTGCTTGGTTGCTTCACCTGCCGAGAGAGAGCGCGGTGGCTCATCCAAACTGATAGAAGCAATGTGAGTATGGATATAATTTTCTCAAGATAGAAATGACACTCTTATAATAATAAGAGGCTCGTCTAACGCACAAAAGTTTTGACCTCTAGGCCTTTCCATGGTGAATGTTTGCGTTGGATAAGAGATTCATTTCCTTCTAACTTCTGCTAGTTTTAGGTTTAAACATAATTAGTTTCCTTAAGTTTCTGGGACAGAATCATATTGACAGTGTAAGTTGGACTTTCTGGGACAGAGAAATTAGCTTGAAAATCATATTGACAGTGAAAAGTTCTAGAATTAGTTCAATGGCAACTCATGAAACAATAATGTTGAAATTGCAGGGAGAGAGGCTTACGAGTGGTGAGTGAAGCTTGGTTACTTGACAGGATTGAGAAACAAGAAGTTCAGCCTTTGGAAGCCTATGATATTGTTTCTGATCTTGCTGTTGACGGCAAAGGAATTCCATTGGATAAACAAGATCCCGAAAAGGCATACTTGAGTCACTTTCAGCAGAAGTATGGATTTCCCTCACAATAAATTGAGCTTGAAAATTGGTGGTTTGTCTCAATTGTGTAATTTAATTGTTTGCAGCTCAAGCTATATGGAAAAAGAGGAGTCTACAAGGATTCAAAATTGCGGGAGCAAGGTGGCCAAATCTTTGAGAAAGATGGGATATTGTACAACTCGCCTTTTCTCTTTGTGACCAAGGACGAGGCATTAATGAGTAATATAGCAAATATATATTTCCCTTTTCTATGTCTACACTTTTATTACATTTTGCTCATTTCCAAGCTTCATTGGTGCAGGTATTGTATCATGCAACTGATCAAGGTCCCAGAGAGTAACCTCCACTTGTACTAAAAGAAAGGGAGAGTAGGCGATGATCCTAATGCTGAGCAGCGACTTGAGGAATGGAAAAAAATAGACGGTGCGGGAAGGAGTTTGTCAGGCTCTTGAAGAAGTCACTGGTAATGAGTTTGAGCCATGGGAGAGGGAGAAGAAGTTCCAGAAGAAACCACTGAAGTTTTATCCCATGGACATGGTAAAATCTCTTTTTCTTCAATTATATTGGAAAGTAATGGTTCTTTTTTTCTAATTGCTTTTGTTACTATTAACATAGGATGACGGAGTGGATGTGAGACATGGAGGACTTGGCCTTCAGCAGCTGGGGTTGCAGCAGCACATAGTAAACTTGAACCGCTGGTTGCAAACTTTATGAAGGTTTTGTGCAGTCAGGAGATTTACAAGTATGCTTCTTTCCACTACGATCATTATCCAATTTTTCTTGTACACTTTTCTTTTTCTTTTTGCATTGTAAATTTTCACTTGACAGGTATGCTCTGATGGAGATGGATCTAGATACCCCTGATTTACCAATGGGGATGCTCTCTAATGTCCATTTGAAAAGATGTAAGAAACATTTCTGCCCTCTCCTGCTTCTTTTTTTTTTTTTCTTTTACTCTCATATAATAATATGATATCCCACCAGGCGAGGAGGTTCTGCAAGAGTTTGTAGAGAAAGTGAAATCAATGAACGAGTCAGGACCAAAAGCTGTGGCTGTTTGGTCAGACCTTAGCCAAAGATGGTTTACTCTGATGCACTCCACCAGACCTTTCGTCTTCAGGGACTATCAAGAACTTGCAGATCATGTAAACCCCGGAAACCTGACCAAGTACTTCCTGTTTTAAGTCTCTCTTTTCTTGTTACTAGATCCTGCCTGAATTTTGCAGGGTGCAGCTGCATTCGAGAGTGTTCGTGACATTGTTGTGGCTTCATATGTTATAGGAGATATCGGTGATGATACCCTTGATGGCCCATTGTCTGGTAGGTACAAGAGAATAGGGTGCTCAATATCTTCAGTGGATAAAGATTCAGATGACTACAAGATGATCGTCAATTATTTGGAAAAAACCTATGAACCTGCAAACTTCCAGACATTGTAAGCCTTGCTCTTCAGGATTTGCATATTCTACTTCCCCTTTGATCATTTTCTTTTCACTTGTTAGCAAAGCATTATACGTCTAATTTGAGTTCAGGAATATGGGATATCAGATGATAACATCTTCGCTGTAGAGACTAATGAAGGCCCCTCTTTTGATGAAGTAAAGAAGCTGCCAAACAAAATCCTCCTGTGGTGCGGTAAGAGAGACCTTGAAGATAAACCCTCCATCATGGTCTTTCTTGGTACTATTTCTTTTCAGTATAATTGATCAATCTCTCTGTTTGATGCTTTCTTTCAGGTACCAGGAGCTCAAACCTGTTGAGGCATTTGCATAAAGGCTTCCTGCCAGCAAGCTGCTCTTTACCAGTGCCCGGTTACATGGTAAATGAATTCCAAAAACCTTCACCTTACTGAAGTTTCAATTTTGTTCATCTTATTGTATTTACGGTTTTGTAAAAGTTTGGGAGGGGCATCGTTTGCTCTGATACTGCTGCAGAAGCAGCCAGATATGGCTTTTCTGCTGTAGACAGGCCCGATGGATTCTTGGTTCTGGCTGTGGCTTCTCAAGGGGAAGAAATTGTTGAGCTCAAGGGCCCACCTGAGGTATATATACTATCTAAGCTTTGGATTACTGCTTTATCACGATACTGCCCTAATTCTCATGAAGCCCTGAATTTGTCATGGTGGAACAGGATACAAAGTCATTGGAAGAGAAGAAGGTTGGTGTGAAGGGATTGGGGAGAGAGAAACCAGATGACTCAGAATTTATAAATTGGAAGGGTGATATCAATATCCCTTGTGGTCGTTTGATCCCCTCAGAGTATAATGAGTACACTGTCTATGATCCCAAACAGGTATGTCCAAGAGGTTCATTGCGTGAACAGTTCTGATGAGTTATTGATTTTCCTGTTATTCTGTTTGCTAATATTCTTTGACCACAGGTGAGCCTAAGGTTCTTGGTGGGGGTGAAGTATGACGAGAAAGGTGTGGTGATGGACACCGAGGGCTAAAGGAGGAAGAGCAAGGAAGGGTTTACTGTATAGGGTGTCTTGACCATTTTCTGACTTTTGCTTAAGGGACGTTGGGGAAAGCTATAAGATGGTGCTGTTGTGGGCTGTAAAGGAATGTTAATGGCTCTTGCTGTACATGATCAGCTTTTAACATCTCTGTGATAGAGGCAGATACAGTAGCTAATGTAATGCACTTCCTCAAAAATATGAATTTAGTCTGTTTTCAATTTACACTCATTTTATCAGTTCAAGCTGGGAGGTTGGGTGTGTTTGAGGAGCATTTTTAGCAGCAACATGCCTTCCTCCTATCCTGCCCAAGCAGGATAAGTTTGTTCGTAACCTAGAATGAAACAGATACCTGGCAATCAAAGTTTACTTGGGTATATCTTAACAAGGAAAAAAGAAAGTAAGTTTTAACCTTAGATCCACCAAGGCCTTACAGTCAATAGTACCGCACAAGAGGACAAGAGTTATAACCACTCCGGGGCATGAAGTTTTGGTTACAAATCAGACAGTACTGCGTACATAGATTCAGTATCTCGAACTTATCATCTAGTTTCAATCATAGGATTCTTATTTTCTCTGAAAACTAAAAACTATCAAGCAAATTCAATCCAAAGAAAATCACTGCCGTAAATTTGGAATGAGGGCGTCCCTAAAAGCATCACTCGATCGACGAATTTCCTCGTTAGAGGTATGCTGCAAAAACACCTAGACTGAGGATTGAAAGACAAAAGTTTCTAAACCATCAATCAGTATATGTAACATGGATGTTTAACAGAAGAAAGGAAAACTGCATCAACGAGAATCTGTTTCAACAAAAGCAAATGAATAATCCAAATCTTAATTCACATTCTTAGTTTCCAATTTTATACTTTGTGTTACCCTAAACTACCTTTGATAGTACAGGGCCAGAATATGAAACAGACTTCAGCAATTGTGTTTCCTTTCGGACTAGCTTGTTTTCTTTTTTTTTCCTTGCAGGCTAGCTTAGTGGAAAACTACTGATACAACATGAATACAACAATTTAACCTTGACCAAAAAGCAAAAGATTCAATCAACCAAAATCATTGATAGATTACCACAGGAGGGAACCTGAACTTGTCTGAAATAAATGGTATTGCTTGTGGATTGTTCATCAAATCGTGATAGAATGCATATTCAGCCTCATAGTCATGTAATCGGAGCTCAGCTTTCTGGTTAGTATGATAGTGATGCTTAGCAGAAGTTGATTTCCCAAAGCCAAATATACTAACTTTGTCACAAATTCCCAAAGCTAGCATAACAGCTTGCATTCCAGAGGAATAATGAAACATAGAACCACCATGAGTAGATCCCCATTCACCCAATGGCTTCCCTGTCTCCTCCACAAATCGTTTCACTGAATAATACTTCACAATCCTAGAACACAACATATCAAAACGCGGATCTGTAATCAACAAAGGCGCCTTGTGAGATGAATTGCACATCAAATAGTCCATGAAATGAACCGGTTGACAAATATACATAACCATAGGAACATTTCCTCCATAAGGGTGACAAAAACACCCTTCCCTCCTAGCACAAAGATGCAGTATATTGCTATTTACAAACGAAATACTCGTTTTCGATCCCACATTCTTTTCAAACCTCTCAGTCCTAGCATTGTTCAATCTAATCACGACCTCATGACCATCAATCAACGCCCCATGATCACTGCTCAACAATATCCCACTATTCCCCACAACCGCACAAGATTTATACGTTTTATCTGAACTGATTAAACCATTGTGGTTATCAATAGGAACCTTCACTAATCTAACTAAATCCATCATAATTTCAGGTTGAAACATCTTTTTTCTTGCCCAATCCTGTAAGTTCCTCCTAAAATCTAACCAATACCGATAAAATTTCGGGGACCTGAGCGTTACCGATAATCCATTAGAGTTTCTGGCTTTGATATCATGACGATTGAACCTGTTCCAAGTTGCAAAAGTCCTGTACCTTCCTTGACTAGCAAAGTTGCCTTCCAGCAGCTGCTCTATCTCATGCTTGGATTTTTCTTCACCTATATCAGCAGCTGCAAACTTGAGCAAAGTAGAGTTAAAAATTTGCATTGGCGGAGGTTGGATTATGACCCTGGTGGACTCCAACTCAGCTGAAACAGTAAAGACGCCACTGCGGCGGATGGTAATCCGGCAGCTTAAGGTTGCAGCCAATGCAACAAGCATCAGGATGCTGATCAAGGGTCTAACTGGCCTCTTCATGGAAGCAATCAAATTGGTGGAACGGTAAATTGGTGCTAGATATGGCCAAAAAAGGTAAAAATTATGGATCTTGAATGTATCTGTATTAGATTCAGATCCATCTTCAGGTTCAATAGATTTTGGCATCCAAAAAAAATTTGGATTTTTTAAACACAAATAGATACAATCTTGGAGTTGGGATTTACAAGAAATTGGGAACAAAAGATCAAATCTTTTTCATGCAAGAACAAGAATTTACTTCTCTTGAAGAAAACCCAGATAGGAAAAGAGAGAAAGATGAAATCTTGGAGTGGGAAATATCACAAGAAAGTGAAATATGAATTGCAGATGAACGTGAAGAATGGGAGTCGGTTTTGTTTGATAAGTGGAAATTTCATGATTTATCCTTTAACAAGCAGAGGGTGTAAGAATAAGAACAAGCACTACGCTAATGCTAAAAGTAGCCACTGCAAAAAGGGAATGGAAAAGAACTTGCAAACCCTAAAATGTAAGATTTCTGGATGGAGGAGAGAAAGCAAAGGTGAGAGGAGGAGGAGGAGGAGGACTGAGGGCGGCCTTCGCTTCTCTTCTTCTCTGCCCATTTAAAATGCATGTTGTTTGCAGGCCGTTGGTGGGGTCAAAGTGGGAAAAGCAAGGGAGTGTTGCTTGAGTGTGTTGGTGGGGATGGATGGAGGATTGTGAAGATTTGTATGGGTCCATTCTCTGGTCATCAACGGCTTAGATTAGATCATCGATTTCTTAGGCCTAAAGGAAGGGAGCCTTTCCTATTTATTACCATTTCAATATCTAAATTGGTTCTATAAATAAATTTGTTCCATGATAAATATACATTACCTATTCCATAGATTCTATATCAATCTCCTTTTTACTAAATTAAATATCTTTCTTTGGTTGTGATGATCTTCTTTTTTTTCCAAAATGGGCGGTGATAGTTAAATTAAACTCTAAGAAACATAAAACTGTCCGCATGTACAGAATCATTTCTTCTCCAAAGTAGGATGATTCCCTCATTAATGGGATAATATAAAATAATAAAATAAGTGGTGGCACCTTTGGGGGAACCCACTTGCAAGAAGGGTGACAAGAGGCTTTGTCTGGTTTGGTGGGTCATTATTACGAGAGAGACCGTCGGGTACGATTAGTGGATCAGACAAATTGTGGAAATGTTTTCATTAATAACAAAATTGTTTTCCATGGAATTTTCCCTTGGCAATGTATGGTTACGTGCGGAGGCAACCATTCAGCTAAAATTCCACGTTACTCAAACCTTGGCAGCACGTTCAACACGGGGAATAGTTAAACCATTTCTTCTTGTTCCTTTCACTTTCTTATTTTTTTACTTTGGTTGGTTTATGAAATAGAGAATGGCCATTCTCTAAAATTTTGAAGTAATGGTTATTCACTAAAATTGTGGGGCTTAGCCATTCTCACCTCTTTTAACGTATTGGCTATTTTATGATTATGGGATAGAGTTAAAAATTTATTAGACGAAAATGTCTCTATTTATTGAAAATAATTACAACTTTACAAATAGAAAATAAAAATTAAAAAAAAAAGTAAAAATGAAGTTAAAGTAAAAAACTATATTAATAATTTAATAATAAATAATTAATATTAAAATTTTTAATGAAAATGGAAATTAAAAAATTAAAATACAAATAGAGATAAAAAAGAAATTGAAATAAAAAATTGTATTAATAATTTAATAATAAATTATTAACATTTTAAAATTTTAATGAAAATACAAATCAAACGCTTAAAAAAAGAAAAATATTATTCAATTATAGTAACGAGTAATTTTGTCTAATATACTAAATTATAATAAAAGGAATTTTATTTTGATGAAAATAAATTTTATTATAAATCAAGGGTAATTTTATTATTTATTATTTATTCTTTTACTATTTCAAAACTATTCTTACTAATGAAATATGAGGTACAATAACAATTTTTATCTTATTTTATTACATAAATTAAATTATATAATAATAATTTTATTTTATACTTTTTTATTCTATTTTTAAAAAATAACTATTCTATTTTATTTTATTTCATTTCATGAGCCAAGCGTGCTTATTATGCTCCCACCCTTGATTGCTTCATCAAGGAAAAAAAAAGGCAATAATACTCTATTATTATTGGAATCAATACTTCCTCTCAAAATAATATATATAATTGGACACATAAATACTATTATTAATCTATTATTTGAGTTTTCGTTTATTTAATAATACAACATCCATTTTACCCTTTTTATATTAGAGAAACAATAAAATTAAACTTTGAACTCCAAACTCAAAATCTAAACAAGATAAAAATAAAGATTTTATTGTCTCTTTGATTTTGTACCAAATGGTTTAAGGCAATGCTGGAGATAAAAAGAAAGTTAAAATGCTGAGACAATAGGAATTACAGATCAAAATGTCAGCTTTTTCAAACTTTAAATTACTCAATAAAAAAAAAATTATAATTTGAAGAAGTAAGATTTCACCCATCTAAAAATGTAAAATTCGACATATTTGTCGAGAAAATACATAAACTTTTATCAAATTGGCCAACACATTGAATTGTTTATTAAAAAGAAGAGATTAATTTCATTGCAACTACATAGTAGATGTTTCAAACATTGGGATAAAATGAGAAAAGACGTGATTTTAAAATGAGAAAAGCTCAAGCTTAAGAAAACGGAATTGTGTACCAGGAGAAGCCATGATCTATTGCCAGAAAAGACAAAGTCATACATGGAGCTCCTCACTTTCTTTCCCTCCCTTCCTCTGCTGTGTCCTCCTTTGTTGAAGAATGATCAATTTTCTCGGTGCTTGGAAAGCAAAAACTCTTCACAATTGACTTTCATCGCAGGTGAAACATTTTCACCATTGCCTTTTGCTTTTCTTCTGAGTCAATTTAAATAGACTCCACCTCTTTCCTCGTTTAGAGGTTTGACAAAAAGAGGAATAACTCAAATTCCTCTTCATCTTCATCAATCATTTCAGTATCCAAATCCCAAGGAAACCTGCGTGAGGTGGATCTGTGTCGTCTTCTCCAATCCAATCATGTTTTCATGACTGCTTGTTTGGTTTTTGTTTTTCTTTTTTTTTAATATTTGAGAGTTTGTGGACTTTTCCTCTAGCACTCCTCCTCCCATATATTAGTGAATCAGCAATCTAATTCCAAAATATATGTTTTAACTGTTTTTCATTTCATAGATATTTTAGTCCTTTCTTAAAATCTATTAACGGTCAAGGTTGATTTTTGGTAAAACAAATCTCAAATTTTCATAAGTATCGTGATTTTATTATAATAATAATATAATTAATTATATTTAAAATATATAAAAATTAAAATAATTAATAAAAATATTTACCTATTCTTTTTGCCTAATAAATATTTATTTTTTTAATATTTTAATTAATTCTCAACTATATTTTATTTTTGTAAAAGTTAAAATAATTAATAAATGATATAATCTCACTTATTTAATTATGTACTTAATAAATTTTAATTTTTTATTACTTTTCAATTCGCATGATATTATTAATTCTTAACTATTTATTCTATTCACAATCAATTAAAGATAATATATATTTAACAATTTATAATCATTGTTTTCATACATAAAATTAATTTTTTTAATTTATAATATCCACTTATGAATTTTCCTTCTAGCTTAAATTCAATAAAAAATTATTATTTTTTTAATTTTAATAAAAAAAATCTGAATTAGTTTTAAATTTTTGAAATTATTGAACCATCCCGATTTGAAGCTAGGTGGAGTGTCTATTTTTAATATTAATTACTAAATTATAATCAAATAATAAAAAGTGGGTTAATTTACCTCATTTTTAATTTTTATTCATTTGTTTACAAAAGTAAAAACTAAAAGTTTCAAACATATATAAAACAAAGTTGAAACGTATTAGCTAATCTGAATTTGATAAGATAATGGAGCAAATTTTCATCTGCTTTTCAACTTTGATTCTATCAACTAATGATAACCTTCCAGAAGCGTCCAAGAATTGAACTGTAAACTGTCCCATTTTTTGAGGTCAACAGGTGTCTGACTATCTCCACTCTTGACATGACATGAAATTTTCCTCAACATTTTAATTATAGACTCTTTCCATCTTATTACATTTGTTCTTCATTGATTTGTATTTTTTATCGAATATAGTCAATTTTATTTACTATATTTTACAAATATCATATAAAATTAAAATTAAAAAATTGCAAAAGTCGAACTTTTAAATTTTAATTTTATTAATTTTTCTTATAAATTTTTTATATTGATCAAATTGAATTCATTCGATTAAAAAGAATTAGATAAAAGACAAACGAATTAGTGCGTAATTTATTTCAGTACCAAAATTAGCAGATGATTAATTGGAATTAAAAGGCCGGTCAGACCAGCCTAGACTGTAAATGTTAGGGGGATTGAATTATCAAGCCATCATTTTTCTTCTTAATTTGTGACATTAGTGTATTGATAACCAGCAAATCGACACACTATTCAATTGAAAATCAACATCAACATCAACAGCAACAACCGGTTACAACCACCATCTAAGCGATACCCTACAGAGGTTGACCGGCCGGCGGGCCGGCGAGACCCAAGTATCAATCTAATTCATGATTTTTTTATAATGACCCAATTCTCAAATTGAAAACACAATCAGAAACAAATTTTTTTTTTGAAATTCATATTTTCTGAAGCTTCTCACCCTTGACAACAGGGTTAGCTTTAGCAATCTGGTCTTTTCCCATCCCTTTGAAATCAAAGGTACAATCGTGTTGTTCAGGGTACCTATGGGTCCCGCAGAAAACCATCCCACACCTGCAGGTGAACCCCGTGAGGCCGACGCGCTTCTTGCAAGTCAAGCATCTGTTGGGTCTAGCTTGAATCTGAATTTCCTCCACCTTCACTTCTTCGTTCGTTTCCGCCTCCTTCACTGGCAAGGAACTCGAAAATGGGGATGATGAGATCGATGACGATGATGGCAACGAAGAGGAAGGCGAAGACAGAGGAACGAGGGTTTGATTGATGGCTTGTTTGGCGGAGGAAGATTGCTGTTTCTTAAGCTGGAGATCGCGGTAACATTTAGAACAAAGATTTTGGGTTGCAGGGCTTCCGAAAAATCCACAGTTGTTTGCGCATAGCTGTGGTGCTTGACTTCTATATTCTTCCGCCATATCTTTTTCAATTTCTTTCAAATCTAAATAGGAAAAAATCATTTAGCGCATAAAAAAATAAAAAACCGAAAAGAAAAGTAAAGCATAGATTTTAGAGGAAACTTCACCTGAGCCGAGAGTTTCAGAGAGAAGAGGGGAGGGGGAAATCAAAGAATAAACGAAACCGAAATCTAATGTTCAGAAGGAAGAAAAAGAAAGAAAAGAAGTAAACGAGGAAAGGCAACGAAGGAAAGGAATCGCTCTCTCTCTCGAAAAAATAAGAGGGAGAAGGATTCCTGGTCCTGGTTGAAGATTCCACGCACTTTCTTTTGCTTTTTGTTTCTTTTAGATCAAATTACGCGTTAAATTTATGGTTTAAATTAATTTTAGCCAAATTCAATTACCATAATTTCGGGGTGGCTCTGCCTACCTATGCAATAGCCGTTTAAGCTACGTTAAAATTTGCTCTTTTTTTTTTTAATAAAAAATATTATAGTTCAGACTCCAATTTGGACCAAGGTTGGCGACGGCGGTACGAGAAAATGAACGGTGGAGACATGGGGAGGAAAGAAGGAGGAACATTGACGTGGACGTGGGTCCCGACTTTGGTTGATAATGACAAATGAGAAAATCTTAAGCCGTCGTTTTTTTTAAGAGGTGAAGAGTAATTAATTTGGGTTAGTGAAGATCACGTAATCAATTACGTCGCTTATCATCACGTGTCGCGTGTCCAAGTGTGAACCAACGCTGGCCGGGCCGACCACACGAAGAACAGCGACGCGATTCTTAACGCGCCTTAAACTTGCCAGATCTGAGTGATAATATATGTCAACTACGTATTAATTTTTAAGTTACCATTAAATCATCCCAATTTGAAAAAGCTAATATCATAAATTAATTAAAGTACATAAATAATATAAATTTCAAATATTATATCATATTTAAAAAATTTTAAAATATTAAAAAAATTTCTATTTTTATCATATTTAATAAATTTTTATATATTTTTTATTTTAATAAATATTAAAATATTTCTTATGTAACATTAAAATGAAAAGTGAAATATATTAAATAATCATATATCATATTATTATTTTTTATAATTTATTAATATATTATGTTAATATTATGTAATATAAAATGATAAAAAAAATTTCAATTAATAATAATTAAAATTTTTTATTTTAGTTAAAATAAAATTAAAAAGTTTTAATTAAATGTAATAAAAATTAAAAATTTATTTAAATAGTTTTAAATTTTTTTAATATTATGTAAAACAAATTATGTCTAATTGAAAAATGAACATTACTTGTAACATTTAATTTCCGAAATCTTTTATCATTTCCCTTAACATAATTACCATAATTATAGCTAAGCCCTTACTCTTCTTTTTAATAATCATGGAATGACTTGATAATAGAAGAGTTGAGATCGGGAACCCGGACCGCGTCACCAACCTTGTCTTGTTGCAGTAACCAACTAAGACCAGTTTTAGGTATCAACGCAAAATTTCAAGCTACACCTTAACGTCTGCCTCAGTGTTAGGGCATGTTTATCCTTTGTAAAGAGTTGGACCCAAATCCCTTCTAATTCGATTCCAGAAACACACTGAACTTCAAGCTTAAAAATTGCAGACACCGTTAGCTGTAGGTTTTGCAATTCAAGAAGCGAAGCAAGTGGTAATCTGTAAAACAATAGGAATAAATGTTCTGTAAAAACATAGAACGTCACAGCATCTTTGTTGAAGTAACACCAAATCATCAGTTGCGCCATCTTATTTCAGGGTTGTGAGAATTGTTTGAACAGCAAGTCTGCAGAACTGGCATACTCAGAAAACTTTCCAGCACATTGACCGGAATGCTAAAAGATTCAAATGCAAGTAACATGACAAAATCATTTATCACACATTGTGCTGTTGTGGAAGATTGAAAGTGTAATCAGCAGAGAAACTTCCAGTTTACAACCATGAAAGCAGTGCGTCATAGCGCCAAACACTGCTCTCTTCTACTCAACGGAGAAGCAGGTTGAAGATTAGTCAATAGAAAATGATAGAACAAAAAAGACCTAGTTCGTTACAGCGACAATATATGCATTCCAAGCATCTTCTTGTTGGAAACTTTTGACCTCTTCATACTTTACATCTTGCCCAATGCCAAATCCCTCAGTACGTCTGATTTCACGGGTGTCTGGCATCTTTCGAAGCCAAAAATGGACAGATCGAAATCCAGCCTCTTCTAAGCAGTCCTTAATCTCCGGCAATGACCACCTGCATGTGTAAGCCACCATATTTTTGCATTCATGATAAGTTATTGAAACACTAGGCAAAACCTCGACATAAACATGCCATTTTAATCAAGAAAATAGCAGAACTTACAGCCTCCAACTATATGAAAATGCATGGCGGAGTTTTTTCTGCTGCTTTTGAAGATGAAAGTGGAGACTAATCCTTGTTTTTCGTTCAATGATGTCAAATTCAGCTTGCTCCCAAGTATACTGCACATATTTCGATCAATGTTATAGTAAGGATCTATCAGATGAGATATTCCTTGAAATATCAAAGCATCAAAATGGAAACACAGATTCCACTTTCTACTTCATTTAAAACCTTCAACTTGAAGCTTATCGACCTACACTTTCGCACAGATGAAAACAAACCAGAAGTTGAACTAATAAAGAAACTTTTGTTATGCCTAAAAGAAGTTAAACCCTTAAAACCAGAATATGCCAGGGAAAGATAGATCAAATATATACTATTGTTTATGTGTAATCCTTAAATGGTACAGAACATTAACATGATTGTATGGGCAGAAAGATCATACCGTAAAATTGGGAAATCTCCGCTGAAGTCTTAATGACTGCTCTGACGATGTACCACCATATAAATCCATCACAAATATACCACCCTTTCTAGACAAGGCTTCAAGAACATGCTTGAAATACAAAACCAGTTCGACACGTTTATGGAGACAACAACAGCTGTAGTTAAAAGCACATACAATGTCTCTTGCAGGTATCTCGGATTCTGCCTGTATGAACTCTTCTTTGGATGAAGCGGTAGAGTCCTCATGCATGTTAAGTTCTATTGCAGCAATCTTGGAATTATCATCACTTTCCTCTAATTGAATGTTCCTTATCAGCTCTTGGGGCTTGAAGCTGACTAATTTTGCCTGACGAGGTTTCAAGACATTCCCATGAAAGAGGGATATTCTGGAATACCCATCAGCCCCAACTTTATTGATATTGTTCTCCAGGCACCATTGTAATGCCTCAAGGTCCAGATCCAATCCTACAGCAGTCCGCCTTGAATCAGTGCGGAGCCATTCTGTACTGTCAAACAAACAGAGTAAACTCTCAGTGCTGGTAATTTCCAACTACGTTGCATTGCAAACAACCAAACAATTTGCCTTACAGAAAAAACACCACCACATTCTATTTTGAAACAAATCTTATGCATCTTAATCATACAATTATGCAAGAACTATAAGGTGACTTACCAATTTGAATGACTAGAATTTTAAGAGGTTAGACACATACCAGTTTGGACTGATGTATAAATGATCTGATGCATTAACAAAAATGCCCACAAGCAAAGCTTCCATTTATTCCTTAACCAAACTGTAACATCCATATATTGCAACTTATCAGACACAGCAAAGGAGGAAGTGTTTTAATTAGTAATACTATTTGAAGTAAAGATCAGGAGAGCCACGGGTGCTTCAGTAATCAGCAATGCCTTTGCCTGACATCTGATCAGAAACCACACAGACAGTAACCTGTTTCCCTGTAATATTTCCTATCTAAGGTGTTTCACAGAAGACCTGCTTTATAAGCTTTAATTCAACATAAGACATGAAGCAAGCAACATATACAAAATCAAAACTAAAATCCCAATGGCAAAGATTGGGGTGACATATATGAAGAATTCGCTAGCACCCTGAAATTATTCACAAGTCACTTAATCTATTTGGTCAATTTGCAGGATTCAAATAACTAAGAAACTGTTTTTTAACTATAAAAATGCCGGTAAAAAAGGGTAAACATACCTAAGAAGTGCGGTGCCGCAGAAATCTTCTTGGAGATGCAGAGGCAACCTTCCACCAACATACATCAAAAAGAACTTCTGCAAATAGCTTATATCTCCTTTCGGTGACTGCATTCAATACACAAATAACTTTCAATATAACAAGATATAACCAACAAACAAACAAGAAAGAACCAACCTTTCCATTACCTAACACATTTAATCATCTACTCTACTGCATTTTTACTTCTCCAGCTAAAGAAAAAAAAAATTTAATCCAGGAGCTAAAGAGGCATTTAGCTTAGGCTTTCTAAACTGACCTGACAAGACAAAAATTAAAACTTTTCTTTTCCAACCATTTCTTAAAATTCTCTCAGCAATAAAACAGAGCAAAAAAGATCAAACTTTGGGGATGATGAGGGAAACCATCACCTGTACGGATTGCTGGTAAAGAATGAACTTTGATGGCATTTCCGTTGATGGGTTTGGGTCATTCTCTTCTTCTTCTTCTTGTTCCTCTTGCTGTCGTTCTTCAGAATCTTGAGATGGTTGTTGAAAATTATAGGTTTCATCTTCATAATCATCATCGTGTTGGGCAGTGTAGTAAGAGGCTCCTCTTTGACTGGTTCTTTGTTGGTGCCTTTGTTTCTTGTCTTTCTTTCCCATTCTTTCTTTCTCACCCTGTCTTCGACCCGCCGCCAAGCTAACAGCCTAACAGTAACACCCCGCTCGCTCTTGGCTATTTTTCCTTTAGGAGCTTTGAGTAAAACAAAAATAAAATGTTTAAGGTAAACTAAACTCCATATTTATTTATTTTTTGGACTTAGAAGAGATTCACATCCCCTTTAAACAGAGACTTATGCATCAACAAATTAATCAAATGCTCAAATATTAATCATTTTATTACATTCAAATCCTAATTTTGCCTATATTGCTAACAAGGGTAAAGAATGACTTTAGTGGTCTCCTATTTGTGATTATCCTCCTCCAATATTCACCAAAAGAAAGAAATAGCCTATACAAATTGTTATGTCCATTTTTCCAAATGATTTTATTGGTTTGTGAAAAAATATAGTTGGAGATAATCACAAAAAAAATGTTTATACTTTATATTGACATCATAAGAGAATTTTATTCTAAGTTGAAATAATCTGTTAAATTTATTATTGAAGGCTAAAACTCTAGATAATCAATTAATATAGTAGAACCTAAAGCTTGGGTGATGACAGATGTAATTTTAAAGAAGTTTGGATAGTACTTTAATAACATAAGAAAAAAAATAATAAATAAAACAAAGAAGGTAAAAAGTAAAGGAATATTGTCATATATACGAATGATGGAGTTTATGAATTTTATAACTGGGGTTTCTGTAATTAAGGTAATTACTTTATAATATATTAAGTTATGTTTATAATTTAATGGATATACCACAATTATATATTTTTAAAAATTGAAATTAGAAAAAGAGAAAACAAAAAAAGAAAAATAAAAAGCCTCCACTCTCATTATTATTATTATTAAGTTATTATGAAGGAACCTTCCTCTCCAAAACCTTAACAACTGCACAAAAGGGACATTAAAAAGACAAAAAAAAGAAAAACAAGTAAAAAATATTAAACAAAAGGGTGTGCTAAGTCATAAGGCAATTAGGCAAATAGAAAAGAAAAGAGCAAAATAAGAAATAAATAAAGAAAATATTTGTACACTAATTAATTAATATTCCACACGCTTACTTTCGAGCCTTGACGATCAAAAATCCAATCTTTCTCTGCCCTTGCTCTCTCTCTCTCTTTCTCTCTCCTTCCTTCGATCTCTCTCTCCAAATCGCAAAATCTCCAGAAACCCGTTTTGAGGAAAAAATATTTTAATCTGCCATCGATCCCATGCAAATCAATTGAGACGATAAAATACCCAGAAAAGAGAACTCTTCGAAGAAAGAAATGTATAGCAATTTCAAAGAACAAGCGATAGAGTACGTTAAGCAAGCGGTACAAGAAGATAATGCGGGCAACTACAGCAAAGCCTTTCCTTTATACATGAACGCACTCGAGTATTTCAAGACCCATTTGAAATACGAGAAGAACCCCAAAATCAGGGAAGCGATTACCCAGAAATTCACAGAGTACTTGCTTCGGGCAGAGGAGATCCGTGCCGTTCTCGATGAAGGTGGGCCTGGACCGGCTTCTAATGGCGATGCTGCTGTTGCCACGCGCCCTAAAAGTAAGCCCAAGGATGGTAGTGGCGGTGGAGAAGGCGGTGACGGGGAGGATCCGGAACAGGCTAAGTTGAGAGCTGGGCTTAATTCGGCTATTATTAGGGAAAAGCCTAATGTCAAGTGGAATGATGTAGCTGGGTTGGAAAGTGCTAAGCAGGCTTTGCAAGAAGCTGTTATTTTACCTGTCAAGTTTCCTCAGTTTTTTACTGGTTAGTTTTTTCTTAATGGATTTTTGGGGCTTTTTTTAATTAGTTTCTGAGGAAGATTTTCGGTATTCAGCTATAAAAGTTGTGGCTTTAGATTGACTGTCGTAATTGGTAGTGGATAATAAACGGGGTAATTGTTGATTGTGAACTACTGGGGATCTTTCTGTGGTTTTATGGGTTTTTCTTGATAGGCTTTGTTGACGGTGATTTTGAGCTTGTAGCTATAAATTTAGTGCCTTTGCTTGATTTTGGCGGTAGGTAGTGGGTAGTGAAATGGGTTAGAGAAGCGGTTGTAATTTTAATGTGAAGAAAGATGTAATTTTGGTGTTGATATAATGATATTTGACATTATTAGGATTATCACGTTTGTTTGTATAAGTTGATTGTGGTAATAGAGAGTACCTAGTTTTGTTGCATTATAAACTAATTGTTGTGATTTTTGTTGCTTGAGATTGTTAGTCCTAAACGTGAATTGAAGATGTTAGATTTCAGATTTTTTGAATATCTATGAGATAGACCTGCTTTCTTTGTTGTTTTTATGAAAACAATATCTGTTATATATCTGTTGCACTTTTCCTGTTTAATGCAGTGAGATTTTATGCAAATTATTAATATGGCTACTTGTGGTGTATCTTGCTGTCATTTCCTGGCAGTGCTTGAATTGATTCCTAGAATGGTAAAACCAACAAAGCAAGGCTTTACTTACTGATGAACTGCTGACAGTAAAGGAGTTAATTTGAGAATGGATAGTTGCTTCTGCAATCGCCTTTTTTTTGTTATGTTGCTTATCTGATGATTATATTTGTTAACTGACAAAATTCCTACTAATACTATCATCATCTTAATGCTCAACTTCTTGCAACACATGAATGAGACAAGCTACCTCTGACATCACCTTGCTAAGACCTGCTTGCTGCCTCTGTTGGTGTCTATTTCTTGCCAGAAACTTTTGCTTGCACTATTATAGCCTCTACCTTTGTTTTTTGAAGCTGTTACCATTTCCATTTTAATCATGTGATACAAAAATTAATATGGTTTTGAAAGTCAAAAGTTTTTCATGTATTTTATGCTTCTGTTATAAGTTTCAAGTAGGAGTTGTTGAATTCAGCTTAAACTTAGCTCAGTTGCTGTCTATTTGAAATTTCCCCTTATGATATGGAGTTAATCAAAGTAATGTGTGGGATTGGTGGAGGTTTTGTGTTATGGTAGGAAAAGAGCTCCATCTTCAACCAGTCTAGATATCTTTCACCCTTTTTTGTATTGCTGTGTTTGGATATCCTCTTGGCCTTTCTAGAATAAAAAGTTGGTATAATTTGAACTGCTAGTTTGCTCGAAGTCTATTATTGGGTTGTGCTGTGGAGAGAAACTCACTGAATCTAATTTGTACTTCCCTTGTAGCTGTTTTTTCAACAATTCTATTCATTTCCATTTTCAACATTACGTATGCAGGGATATTATTGGATTAATTTTGTTAAAGTTTTCCTACTTGTTCTCTCTTAGGAAAGAGAAGACCATGGAGAGCTTTTCTGTTGTATGGGCCACCTGGTACCGGAAAGTCATACTTGGCCAAGGCTGTTGCAACTGAAGCAGACTCTACATTTTTTAGGTAATTAATTGACTGGCACATATTTGGCCTCTTTACTTGTCATAAGAACATATTCTCTGATTATCTGCTGAGTTTGAAGTTTTTTCACTTTTGTTAACATTTAAGATGCATATCATGAAGTCAAAGAGGAAAAAGTCACCATGTTATCTTGTGTGTGTTATCTAGCCTTTCCTGTGTGTTGCAGCTGCCACTTTTCTTTTAGTGGGATAAAGGGGGAGGTGGCAGAAGTAGGGACTCCAGTATGCATCCCTGTATTGCAATGGCAAATGGGTGGCAGTGTTTAGATGTTGTGATTACAACCTATATCTGCAGCAAGAACTCTTTGAGCTGTTAATATCTATTGGCTTTCTGTACTGCAAGCTTCCCCACCTTTTCGTCCTCACTTCAACATTTCTTGTTCTGTTAAGTATAATTTACAACTCCGGTGCGTGAATAGTTATGTGTGAATCATCTATGATATCTATCACCAAATAATGGTCATGCAGCCATTGCAGAGCTCCATAATTTTCATGTGATTTTTATTGTCACAGCCTAGGTTTTTATATTATGAATTCTAGGGATTGTGTCATTAGGCTGAATTATATTTTACATTTTTTAAACCTGGGGTTTATTGTATTAATTTATTGATTTTATATTCTAGGAGTTTTTAGGCTTTTAGGCTGGTTTTCTTGGAATCTAAGTTGATCGTATTCTTGTAGTTTTATGTCATGAATCCTAATCCTGGTGCATTTGAGGAATAGGGTAGGAGTCTCTATAAATACCAATGTAATTTGCATATTTCTCTAGGCTTCTGATTTTTGAAATTATGTGCATTTTGTTTTACTGAGCATGGATGCCTAGTGTAATTGTATTCTCCTCCTCTCTGGTGATCTTCTTTGTCTTTTCATGATCTCCGTTGCTGCATTGCTTTTGGATTACCTCCGATGTCACAGTTAATCACGTCCATTTATCCTTTTTCTTCTCTTTTATGATCTAATCAAATCCTGTTTTTTATGGTTTTCAAACTCTCAAATCTTGGATATTTTGGCACCAATTTGCACTGCGTAGCCTTAAAACACATCAAGTAAATCCTAGTTTTGCTGCTGCTGAGAATTTCAGCGAGTGGGTTAATCAGTTTTGAACTTTTCTACACTAACACTTGATCACATCAAAGTGCTATTTCATTCCTACACTGGTTAGTTCTCCTTATTTTCCAACCCTAAGTCCCTCAAGATAATGACATTGAAAGATTACCACAAATCTGTCCTACATCAAGTTGTAATGGTAATTATATTAATTACAGTAATGACAGTAGTAAGAATTGAAATAACAATGATAAGGATTTTACAATGTTGCTCCGAGAATGGTCCTTGGAATGTATAATTATTATAGCCCTACAATATATAATCTCCACTGATGTGAAGTATCTTTTATTTTTTGTGATTTCATTTGCACATAAAAGTGTTGTTTGTATAGTGCAGAGTTGATGTGAGTTTTACAAATGTTACTGTCGATGCATCCTGCTATTCCATTATTATATATTAGCATATGTCAGGAAGATGGATTATGGGATTTGTGACTCCTGTGATATTAAAGCATATGCTTTGAAAAAGATTCTATCTAGGGACTAAGGATGGTTGTTGGGAATCAAATGTAATCTTGAAGATAGTTAGCAATTGTGCTAACAACTTCCATGTAATTGAAGTCAGACATGTAGTCACTACCTGTCAATTCTGGTCATGCTTGCTCTTCATTTCTCAAGTTAGTTTGATTATACTCAATACTCACAGTGTATCTCTCTTGTGATTATTAGTTTATATTATGTGTAACAATTATCTTAAAATTTCAATATTTTGTTATCTTTGTCACTTATAAAGACATGAAAATTGTTTCTTTCAAGTGGTATGCTTTTGTTTTGAGATTGTAAAACTAGGCTTGCACCTATGAAATTTGTTGATATTAATATATTAGGTAAGCTCACCTTTCTGGCTCACATTTGGTTATCTTTTCAAACATTTTTGGGTTAGTTAATAATCTATATACCTTTGCTCCATTTATGTGCATATATATTAGGTTTTTGCTTGCTTCTCTTTAAAATTTTAATCCTTTCTCCCTTCGTTTTCTTCTAGTGTTTCTTCATCAGACCTTGTGTCGAAGTGGATGGGGGAGAGTGAAAAGCTGGTTTCAAACCTTTTTCAGATGGCTCGCGATAGTGCTCCTTCCATCATATTCATTGATGAAATAGATTCCTTGTGTGGCCAGCGTGGAGAGGGCAATGAGAGTGAAGCGTCAAGACGTATCAAAACTGAACTTCTTGTGCAGATGCAGGTATTTGATGTCGTGGTGAAAGTGCTAAGAAGAATTCTTAAATTTTCTTTGCTCAGATTTTCAATATGGTATTTTCTCATGATTTACATTCTTATAATGTCTGAACAGTTTCCCATTTCTCTTCAGGACTTGCTGTCTATTCTAGGTCTTGTTTTGAGTTTTTCAAAAGGATAGTTTGCATTTCATAAAAATTTAATACTAGCCAAATAGTCTTTTATGAAGTTGGTTAAGTCCAAAATTTGAAGACCGTTTGACCCATTTACCAAAGACGTGCAAGATAAGCTAATTACTTTGGGAGTTTATGATAACACAAATTCTCATTTGATCTTTTATATTTGGAAGAACTTTAAGTGTTTATGGTTTAGAGTTTATTCAATATATATTTATGTAAGATATTTATTGTTTCCTCATTCTGCAACATGCTTGCATCTGTATTGTAATTTTTTGTGAATTTCCCATCGCCATATTTTTGTTACATGGTGCTCATATCTTATTTATGTCTGTTCTAGATTGTGACAAGTAGGTATATGATTCCCTCCAAGATTTCAATCTTAATAAACATATTTCTATACCTTCTGCTTTTTATGTTTTAGGGTGTTGGACATAATGATCAGAAAGTCCTAGTTCTTGCAGCAACGAATACTCCCTATGCACTTGATCAGGTAAAGGAGAATATTAGAATATATTTTTCATGTATTCATCTTGAATCAGCAGAGATGGATGTCTTTTACTAATCAATTGTTTTTCTAGGCCATCCGCCGGCGTTTTGATAAGCGCATTTACATTCCTCTCCCAGATTTGAAGGCTCGGCAACATATGTTCAAAGTACTTGACCTTATCCCTGATGTTGTCCTCCAAAATTTTGAGAAAAAAGAGAGAGAAAAATGCTTGGCTGTTTGTCTTCTATTTCACAATATAATCAATTTATCACTTTTGCTTTTTGACATGGCTGCATTGTTTTGGTAAAATAAATTACAACAGGTGCATTTAGGTGATACTCCTCACAACTTGACTGAAAGTGATTTTGAAAACTTAGCTCGCCGGACAGAGGGGTTTTCAGGGTCCGACATATCTGTTTGTGTAAGTGCAACACCTATATGAGATGCGTGATCCTTATCTCTTCTTCTTCTCCTTTCTCTGAATTCTGTCTTGGCAGTGAGTCTTACTATGAAAGGAACAATATAGAGTAGCTCACTTCTGTGCTTTTTTACTTGTTTTATGTCTTGACAGGTTAAGGATGTTCTTTTTGAACCTGTTCGTAAAACCCAAGATGCCATGTTTTTCTACAAGACACCTAATGATATGTGGATGCCATGTGGACCAAAGCAACCAGGTGCTGTCCAAATTACCATGCAGGAATTGGCAGGCAAAGGACTTGCATCACAGGTATGGAGTTGCTTGAGATACAAAGTAGTTGAACTTGCCTTTGTATCCCTCCTGCCCCTGTATACTTTTGGAGACTCCCTTGTCTTGTGATTTTTTCAGTGTGCATTTGTTCATGCTTTTGGAGAATGCGTGGAGATGAAGTGTTTGGAGTGTGAATTTAGTAGTTTACTATATCTAAGATGTGATTATCTTATAATGAAGTCATCAGTGAGATGATCAAGTTAAAACTTAAAAACCACATAATTTAACAAACATGGTAAACAAAATTAAAATAAGAAAAGAAATTTCATCAGTTGTTTCAGGAGACGCATTGGAATATTATTAGCATTTTGTTATGCAATAAATATATCTATATAGTCATTTGGGATGTTTGAAGCAATTAAAATTGCCTTTTCATTGCTTAATTCCCATGCAGATCCTTCCGCCTCCTATTTCCAGATCAGATTTTGATAAGGTGCTTGCAAGACAGAGGCCAACAGTGAGCAAAGCTGATCTTGAGGTCCATGAAAGATTTACAAAGGAGTTTGGAGAGGAAGGCTGATGGATTGCTGAAATTGTCACATTGATCTACACCAGTTGTGAGTGCAATCACTGTGATTTGTATTTAATTAATAACTGCTGGATCATCCAAAGAATTGTCTCTCTATTAGCTTCATCAATCGGGGAAGGTGACTTGACTTCCCTTTTTCCTGTATTCAAGAAGGACGAACGTTTGACACTTAATTGAATTGCTTGTCTTTTACCGTGTAAAGAAGATTACTAAGAAATTTGGCTTAAAAATGCTTGATTATGAGTTGTGCTCGTTTTGTGCCAATACTTGACAGCCCCTTTTTTGCCATCTAATTTTCTGGTTTTGAAATGATTTGAATTTTCAGGTTTCATTTGGAGCATTTGCTATTGCTGCTTATCAGTTAAGAGTACGGTTGGAAGGGTGGTTTAGGCCTTGGGGGGAATAGAATGGAGGGGAAAGGGGTGGGGTGGGGGATAGAGCGGTATTTTGGGTCTGTGGATGGGAATTTGGTATCTAAGGAGGCATATATGTTAATAAATTCCCTAATTCATGTAGATTGATTGGTCTTTGGTGCAGAACATGTCATGTATGCGTGCTCACAATCTACTATGAAATGTTTCTATAAGTGAATTCCCAAACCCCTTTTACTTGATAACCTTGGTGCTTGATGGCTGAGTCAGAACTCTCAAGCTTTGCTTCATGCTTTGACTTGGTAGTGTTAGGATGTATTTCAAGTGTCATTCCCTGAAAGATGGGTTCAGTTCTTTAACCACGAATGCTGTTTCGGAGTCAAAAAATGCAGATGAAGAGGAGCATTTTAGGTGCATATCAGATACATTCATTCGCTTGAAAAGGAAATTGAGTGAAATAAAATGAAACGACGCACACATGCCTCACTTACTCTGATGGTTTTGAGTTGAGATTTTAAATTAGATTAATAGCTCTCCTTTTGTATCAAAGAAAAACAAATCTCTCTCACTTGGATTGAATTCAGCTTTTGATCGTATTGGTTATTAATTTATATTAATCTACTAATTTGAATGGACGTTTAAATTTGCTTAATAGACACAACAAATCAAACAAAAGAAGCAACAGAAATAATGTTGGGTGAAAGCGCTTGAGAATAACAAAGGCAGTGCTTAAAGAATGCCCTTTTCTGTCAATACGAGGGATACAAGGGCTTTTCAGCGAATTTAAACACCTTGGATATGTTTCTTTTTTGTGTTTTGACAAAGAACCCTTCATAGGAAATCAATGCTTCATTTTAAAGGATTTGAATACTGTCTTGAGAGTTGGTCATTTATGCATAAAACTCAGAATATAGACATCTCAAGTTAAACTTCCATTCGGATTTGTTTCTATGCCACTTCTGCTGAACTTTGATGCTTCAGAAAACGTATTTTCTTGTTTTTGAGCATGATCCAATGGAATACTTCCAACAAGTGGACTCTGTTCCAAAGGGAAAACTAACTGAACGAAAAGAAAACAAGAAAAAGGCCGGCTATAATACTTAATAGTAGAAACAGTTGGGAGTGACTAAAGCATACAGCTTCGAAATTTCTTATCTACTGAAACAGACTTTTCAACCAGAATCAAAAGACGCCGGCATTGGAGTTTCTTTTGCTATAAGAAGGGTATGTTCCTGTTCATGGTTCACCACCATTTCCAGCTTTAAGCTACTCTTCTCTGCTTTTATACCACTTGCTGTTGTGGTTTTCGTATTGTATATCATGAGACTTGCTCAAATTCTCACTCTTTTCTTGTTTATTAGATTTGCTCGGTGCATGGAGTCACCAGCAATGCCAAGGCAAGTAGACAGATCACAGAGAAATAAATGTATAAGACGGGTTTTTTTTCATGTCGATTTGGGTGGGTGGTCTGATAGCGTTTTTTCTCTCCCTTTTTGGTTGATTTGCAGCATTACATTGTTTACATGGGGAAACACTCTCATCCCAACTCGGAATCTGTTATCAGAGCTAACCATGAGATGCTTGCTTCAGTTACTGGAAGGCATGCTCTAAGCAGTTACATATTGTCATCTGTTGATGATTGGTTCAGAAATTAATCGTTTGTTTAGATTGTTAATTTTCAGTAATGAACGTCCAAACCACTCATTCACAGATACCATGTCATGTTGTAATGACAAATCAAAGTTTTGCTACATCTTTTTTCAGTTTGGAAGAGGCGAAGGAAGCTGCACTGCACCATTACAGTAAAAGCTTTAGAGGTTTCTCAGCCATGCTACACCAGAACAAGCTAAAAAATTTGCAGGTATTGTTTTGCAATTGTAATTTCATTTTGAGAGTCCACAAAAGAGAAACACAGCCAAAAAATCATGGTTCTTGTCCATGTTTACACTTGTAAGAAAGCAGCCTAACTAAACAGTTCATTTTCAGAGTCCATAGCAATAGATAACACCGAGGATTATGCCATGTAAATTCTAAACAAACAGGACTTGCACTGCAGAGAGCGACTGGATTGTTTCTGTGTTCGAAAGCAGGATGAATAAGGTTCATACCACACGTACATGGGATTTTCTAGGACTAGACTCCATTGAACAATATAAGCAGCTTCAGTTGGAATTGTCATCCAACGTTATTGTTGGTGTAATCGACACTGGTAACGCTTTGTATGCCTGCATGCTTACCTGATTCTTGCAATTTTCTTAACTAACCCCCCGTTTTCAATTTTATCTTCAGGAATTTGGCCTGAATGAGAGCTTTAGCGATGAAGGATTGGGTCCAGTGCCTGGAAAATTCAAGGGAGATGCGTACCCGGAGAACAGTTTGCATTGTCTAACTGCAATAGGTAGGTTGACGTTTCCCAAAGTCGAACCCTTATCTCATCATCTCATTAGTTTATAGCCATTTCGTTTTGCATTTTAGCCATACAATTTACCCGGTACAGTTAGAATTTGAATGATATGTAATTCGCATCAATAAGCTATAAGCATCACACAACATAAATCAGCACAGAATAATCGCGAGTCCAATGATATTCACCTTGTAATTTTCAGGAAAATCATAGGCGCAAGGTTCTATTTCAAGGGGTTTGAAGCAAAATATGGGCCTCTTGAATCTCTCAACAGCTCTTTCTTCCGGTCAGCTCGAGACAGTGATGGTCATGGAACCCACACTGCCTCAACCATTGCAGGATCAGTTGTAGCAAATGCAAGCCTATTTGGCATGGCCAGAGGCACTGCAAGAGGTGGTGCACCTGGTGCGAGGCTTGCAATCTACAAAGCTGTTGGTTTAACCTTTGTAGTGATGCTGATATTCTTTCTGCTATGGATGATGCTATTAGTGATGGCGTTGATATCCTCTCTCTTTCCCTTGGCCCTGATCCACCGCAACCGTCATACTTTGAAGATGCAACCTCGATTGGAGCTTTCCATGCATTCGAAAATGGAGTTCTGGTTTCTGCTTCAGCTGGAAACTCCATTTTTCCAGGTACTGCAACCAATGTTGCTCCTTGGATCCTCACGGTTGCCGCAAGTTCTGTGGACAGGGTATTCAACTCCAACATCTATCTCGGAAATTCAAAGGTCTTGAAGGTAATATTTTGAAAATAATTTGTACTCATGGTCACCTAGTGCAACTCCTAGACCGCCCCACCCCTCCCAAAAAAAAAAAAAAAAAAACCATAAGGAAAATAAAAATTGGAAACTGCATATAATGTTGATAGTTTCCAGGGATTTTATGCTTTCAGGGTTTCTCTTTAAACCCTCTGAAAATGGAAACCTCATATGGTTTGATAGCGGGGAGTGCAGCAGCTGCCAAAGGAATTACACCAGAAAATGCTAGGCATGCCTAAAAGTTCAACTCTGCAGCATGATATGTGGAACATGCTCGTGATCAAACTCTACCTTTGCAATTAAATTTTCAATGTTTATTTATGTGTAGGATCACTCAAGCTATACCAGCATTTTAGTATTCATTTCCTCTTGATTCATGCACATAAAGATGAAATACTGCAAAACATTTAATCACAAATCTCTATTCCGTGAATAATGGCATCGCCAAAACAACATCCTATGTATATTTAATATTTTCTAAGAGTAAATATTCAAAAAGATTCTATTTCTCGTCTGGAATTTTACGAGAATGCATGCCATGTGATTGCTCAAAAACCAAGATACTGGGAAAGCAATCCTTTGATTCATTTGCTCAGAAAACCTTGGTTTACTTCCTCTCCCTTATCTGGTTATTTCCTCATCTTAGAAGACCACCATTCACTTCCCAAGACTAAGATGCAGGGGCTAGAAATTAGTACTTGGAACAAGGCCCAGCACTAAGCATTAAGAAGATTGGCTTCTGAAGATTCATGACACGAACCTGATCCATTTCTATTGGTTTCCAGCTTTTGCAAGAATAATACTCTTGATGCTACTTTAATTAAGGGGAAGATTGTGGTGTGCACAATTGAGACAGTAACTGAAAACCGAAAAGAGAAAAGCATATTTATAAGACAGGGTGGTGGTGTAGGGATGATACTCATTGATCCATCTGCGAAAGAGGTCGGCTTCCAGTTTGTGCTCCCAGGCACTCTGATTGGTCAAGAAGAAGCTACACTGCTACAAAAATATATGGCGACTGAAAAGTGAGTACATTAAAAATTAAATGTGCACTGAATTACTATTCCGAAACTGGACGGTAGTACTAACTGCTATTATTACAGGAATCCTGTTGCCAGAATCTACCCAACAATAACGGTTCTGAACACTAAACCTGCACTGGCAATGGCTGCATTTTCTTCCATGGGACCAAATGTTATAACTCCAGACATCATTAAAGTAACTCCAATAAAATTCTCAATACTGTTTAACACATGCATTAATGTGATATTATCCCTGCTATTATTTGAACAAGTTCATTGAGGAAACTATTGTCCATAAGACTGCACCTCCTGATGCAAATTTCTCGCAGCCAGATATTACAGGACCTGGATTGAATATTCTGGCAGCATGGTCTCCTGTAGCGATAGAAGCCACAGCTGAACGGTCTGTCAACTACAACATTATCTCTGGAACCTCCATGTCTTGTCCTCATATTTCTGCAGTTGCTGCAATCATAAAATCCACCCAATCTTCATGGAGTCCAGCAGCCATAAAGTCTGCAATAATGACAACAGGTTAACAGTTTCTGCAATGAATATTATCAGAATACTTGGTTCATGCTTCAAATAAACCCATTTTTCTGTCATGTTCTACATCTAAGACTTTATTTGCTGCCACAGCTACTGTCCTTGATAACACCAGACACCTGATTGGAAGAGAACCAACTGGCACCAA